CAACAAATGCTAATCCAATATCAATTTGCTTATACCTAGTACATGCTTGAATGGAGTAGGAAGAAGTCAGATTTATCCAGTCCTACCCCATGACTGTGGTCACATTGTTTTTAATGCTGTTACTGTTTTCTTTACCTATGTGACGCATGCTGAATTCCCCGCGTAGGAAGTGTGCTATATTGTAAATAAAGTTGCCTTGTTTTGCATAATGCTAACGGTCTATGTGGGAATACAATATCTCTTGCAATTTGATGTCTACTGTTTAGTCATTTGCGGATAAACTGTAGGCAACCTGTGACATAAGCTCTGAGGCAGAGTTTCCTCTAAGAGCAGCCTGCTGTCTTTACCTTTGCTGTTTTATTTCTTCCATTCAAAGTGGGCGTGTATCTTTCAAGTTGAAATGTTCACTGAACTGATGTACTCTGGCCTGTTTTGTCTCTTTCTGTGATTCAGGTTTTTCAAATCATCTGCTCTTCAAGACAACAGCGTGAGTGGTGACACTGACTGTTCAATGTGTTTGCAGGCTTCAGTGAAAGACAGATTCATCTAAATCAACAAACAGAAGCTGTTTCTTATTTACTGTATTTCACTTGTTTTGGTAAAGAGTCATGTACTTTTTTTATATAGTATCTTCAGCTCATGAAAATGTGCCCCTGTGCAGAACCAGACCACTTCCTGTAGAAAAGAAGTCAACTGATGTGCTGCCGCATTACTGCAAACTCTCTTATTGTTGTTAATTATGCTGTTGATAAATGTAAAATAACACTTCTTTGACTTTCAAAAGTGTCAAACCTCTTGTGGTTTTCACCCACCACATCACTCTTTTAGTTCCTTTCAGAGTAAACAATACCATTCAGACATAGTGACACCACAGACAGTAAACACAGGAAACCTTTAACAGATATGCTTTTTGGCTACAATATCATTTTCATCATTTCATGGCTCCTTCTCACTTTTCAACTTTTGGTAAGACAACTGAAGCTGTTGTAGGTGAATCTAGTTCTTGTTTGAGACCTGAAGTGAAAGTGCAGCTCAGCATGTTGCATTTACTTTTCAAAGTAAACAATACCATTCAGACATAGTGACACCACAGACAGTAAACACAGGAAACCTTTAACAGATATGCTTTTTGGCTACAATATCATTTTCATCATTTCATGGCTCCTTCTCACTTTTCAACTTTTGGTAAGACAACTGAAGCTGTTGTGGGTGAATCTAGTTCTTGTTTGAGACCTGAAGTGAAAGTGCAGCTCAGCATGTTGCATTTACTTTCCAGTCTATTTTGGCTTTCATTTTGGGGGATGTAAAGAAATCCAGCAGCTTTCATGCTGCACACATCTGGAATAAAGCCCACCAATCGTCACAGACGAGTGAATAAATACACTGATCAATGTATTTTTAAAATATTGATTAGAGATTACAGAAGAGGAGTTTAACTGAGAGCAGCTCAGCAGGCACAGTGTAGAAATAGTG